GGACACAGCGCTCCCTAGCGGCAACAAAACAATTTAATTTTGTTATTTTTGTTGTGCATTTTATTGATCAGAAAAAACTCTTTCAAATGACACCCGATTCATTGAAATTGGTTAAAAAACAAAAAAGCTATATAATTTTTGTTTCTAACAAGTTTGAACCTTCCCCCACCTCTTATTTGAAGAGTTAGGGCAAAAAATCCTTAACAAAATTTTTTCGTAATCTCATCAAGATTTCAATAATCATATTTTAAGGATACCTTTAGTGGGCGTTTTCTGAAGATAATCACAGTATTATGTTTTCGAGTGTTCGTTGCGCCCCTAGCGGTCAACTTACAAGCTTGAAAACTATTTCCAGAAATTTCTCATGGCCTATTTTATAAAAAATTTTTTACTTGGAAGCTCTAGGACTAACAGTTCCTGAGATATAGACGGCGACCTTTCTTATTTGGACACCCGGTACAGAGCTTTCTAGGATTATGTAATTTTTATAGAAAATTTATACATAACTTCGCATCAATAGCAAGACCGCTACATGAAGTTACAAGAAAAAACATAGGGTTCAAATGGGGTTCTGACCAAAACAAAGCATTTAACATCCTTTAAGAAAAACTGGTTTCCGCACCTGTGCTACAGCATTTCAATCCAAATAAAGATACCATTTTGCACACCGACGAAGCAACATGTGGAATTGGGGCAGTACTTTTACAAGAAGACGACAAGGGAGAAGCACATCCAATAGTCTACATAAGCAGAAGTCTTTCAAATAGCGAAATAACTATTCAATTAGTGAATTAGAACTCTTAGGCGTAGTGTGGGCATTGAGCTATCTGAGACACTTGATTTACGGAAGACCAGTAAAAATCGTCACTGACCACCATGCTCTTTGCTGGATGGACTCCATTAAGGAAAGTAACAGACGCTTGGCCAGGTGAGCACTAAAACTTGCAGAATTCGATTACACGGTTGTATATAAAAAAGGATCAACACATAGCGACGCCGACTGTATGTCCCGCAGTCCAGTGCTTCAACCAGAATCCCAGGAAAAAGAAGAACAACAGGAACTCCCCACATTCACACTAAAATCAGTGCAAACGGCTATATTACAGGAAAAATACCCAAGTCTAAAACAAATATTCAAAGCTATACGAAACCCAGACGACCCAGAAATTAATATTGGCATCAGAAGAAGAGCAAAACATTTTAGGATTGAAAAAGACTTACTCTATAAAATAAATAAGACGAAAAACGGCTTAGAAAAAGTATAAGTAGTACCAAAATCAATGAGAAAAGAAATTATGTGGGAGCTACATACATCACCGACAAGTGGTCACTTGGGACTGAGCAAAACAACGGACAAAATTAAAAACAGATTTTTTTGGGACGGAATGCTGAAGGACATCGAAAAGTACGTAAAGGGATGCCCAGATTGCTAAGCTAGAAAAGGGCAACCTTACAGAAAAACGCCAGGGATGTTACAACCAATACCAGTGGGAACAATTTTCGACAAAATCGGAATTGATCTTTTAGGCCCATTTAGAAGAAGCAGTAAAGGGAAAACAATGATAGTTGTAGTTACCGATTACGCCTCACGATGCCATCACAGCCGCCCTATCGAATGGAAAAGCCGGACCAGTTGCAACTTTTTTACTGGAAAAAGTTGCAAATTTTTTACTGGAAAAAGTATTCTTGATACACGGGAATTAGGAAAATTAATGGGAGTAAGAAGCCAGTTTACAACCGCATATCATCCTTGTTGTAATGGTCTCACTGAAAGGCTAAATAAGACAATAGCTGACATGTTATTCATGTATTGTAACGCACTGCAAACGGACTGGTGTAGCTATCTACCATTTATAACATTTGCTTATAATACAGCAATACAGGACACAACGAGATTTAGTCCATTTATGTTAACATATGCAAGGGAACCCACACTACCAGCAGAAGCTGCATTGTTGGACGCTGACAACGAAACGGACGCTCTACAAATTAGAGAAAAAGCACTCTTAATAAGAGCCATAGCAGTAGAAAATATACAAAAAAGACAAGAAAAAAATAAGGGACGTTCTGACGAACGAAATAGAGAATTAGATTTCGTAGTTGGAGACAAAGTTAACGTGTTCATACCAATTAGAAAGGTTGGAAGAAGCAAAAAATTACTCTTAAGATGGTTTGGACCATACAAAGTAATTAGAAAAATGGGAGAAGTGAATTATGAGGTACAAAAGATTGGAAGCAGAAAAAAGGATACGGTCCACGTGAGTAGGATGTTACCCTACTACGATGCATGGACAGAAGCTGCGCCTATTGAAGAAAGGGCAGATGAGACAGATATAGCTGAAAACGCAGAATCCGAGGATGAAGGAGAAGAGGAGGAAGAAAATGAAGGCAGAGGAGCCGAAAACGAGGAAGAAGAAGACTGATTGTACAGATAAAACATAAGCAAAAGTAGGGAAATGAGAAGTAGAGATAGGATGAAAAAATAAAGTAAACAAAGAGGGATGGAGAGGAATGACAGCTCAATATAAGAGAAAACTAGTGGATGACCTCATAATTCTAAGGGCAGATAGAGAATACGAATTACTATTAAAGAAGAGTAATCAGAAACATTTTTATCGACGGAAGAAGTCGCCGAAGAAATCTTAGAAAAGTACAAGCTGCAAAAAGAAGGCATATGGGTATACAAAAAGCAAGTTGGACTAAACTTACCTGTTGGAGCCATGATCAACAAATAACCAAATGATGAAATTTGGTGGCCCGGATGTGGGTCATAATTAAACTAATAGGAATAAGCTCAGGAATAAGCTTTTTTTGTATATTAAACTTTTTTTTTTGCATGTATATACAAAACCATTAACCAGGGACGAACCACAAAACGAATTCGATGGAAGTCATTGTAATAGAAGGACCTAGCTCTGCGAACTGAGCAGGGGCTAAGAACTTCAAACCAGAAGAAACAAATGGGTTTGGACCAAAAGTAGACAGACCACAGTACCATTTCCACCACACTCACAAAAGAAATGATCAAGGATTACTTGGGCCGTGGGACCGCGCAAACCCACGACCCAGATCACCAGGAAGTACTTGGAGCCAGAACCAATCCACTTGAAAGACAGAATATAGCACAATGAACAAGAAAGAAGTATAACATACCAGGAAACGACACTTAGACCGTGGGACCGTTAACACCCCATGATCTAGCTGACCCACCAGGAAGTATTTGGAACCAGAATAGACCCACAAGACAGAAAACAGGACCGGACCAAAAGAAAAAACCCATGGCTGAAACGGTGAAGTTGATGAAATTTCTTAGTTGTAAGATATTTGTTTTTTGTAGTAACCTGAATAATAATGCACCCTGACCCATCCCACCATAAAAAAACTTTTGTTAATTTTAATTTTTAATTTTTTTTCTATACGCGATATTTGGAATATATAATTGTTAAGCAGGGCTATTTTATAATTAGGCTATTATTGTAAAAAACGGATATTTTTAGGATTAGGATATTATTATTTTTGACATTATTATGGTATTTGTATATATTTTGTTTTAAATGTCTCTTCCAAGCATTGGGGTCCAATGCTTCATGGAGGAGGGGGGGGACATATGTCAACTAGCTGCTTAGGAAAGGAAGACCCGGTATTCAACCTTATTAATTTATTTGCCGATTCGATCGGATGTTTATTGCAATTCGGCAATAAATTGATATAAATAGTTGGCCAAGCCAAGCAACAGGCAGACTTAAACGTCTTAAACCAGTGCAACTACCTCTCGTTGGGAAAGCCCCTCTGGAATTAAGTCTCCCCAGTGCAAGTACCTCTCGTTGGGAAAGCCCCTCTGCGTATCTTCAGCTTTATCGTTGTCCAGAGCAATTACCTCTCGTTGGTAAAGCTCCACTCGACAAGACAGCATAAGGGTGACGATAACCAATCGACAGTCCCCCAAGCAGCGTTGACGTGTGGCTCCCTATAAGGGCCCCAGTGTTCGAAGGGTCATGCGGATTATAGGACTAGCGTACATGTAAGGGCATATTTGGGAAAATATATATTTACACTTTTATATAACTCCATCGACCCTCAAAGCTACAAACCCCCCATGTCACCCCCGTAAAGCGGGCAGTTGTGACAATATCTAACATTTTCAAAAACTATGGATAGTCTGACCCTGAGTATGCTCAACTCTCATTTGCATATTGTTGGTGTTTTAATTTAGGGCACGCTCTATAGCAGGACAGTGCATTGAACTACACTTTGACAGCTAGCGATGCAGCCTATTTTCAAGAGGCAGTCTGCATACAAATTATGTCAAATACCTGCAACTTTCACAGCCTCTTCCAACGGAATAATTTCTTGTCCTCACATGACAGCCGATTGGATCTAGTCTCAAGACTAAGAGACAAGTGTCAGCTTGACCAACTTCTTCCTAGTTCCTCCTAGAATGCATCCACGCCTTCATATTTATATTCTTGTGGCATTAATGAAATATCAAGCTGATGATTCTCTTAACTTCGAAGGATTTTACAGACTTCACAGAAAATGGAATGGAATATTATAAATTTTTGGTATGATGTTATTTTCGTAGCTATTGATAGTTTTGTACCTTCAAAAAAGTACTCAGCCCAAAAATTCCCTATATGGTTCCTGCTAATCTTAAAGAAAATTGCCCACAAAAAAAAATTCAAATCCACTTGATCAAGGGATGATTATCGGGAGTTTAGGTTGAGTCATTTGTACAATAAACAACTGGTGCAGGAATCTTATAATAATTACATCTTACTAAAATGGCGATCATCATATACTTTCACATAATTCGTTACTGAAGCTTTCAAGTATTATAATCAAAAGCAATTGCAACCATGCAATTTGACCTCTATACATTTTTTGGATGTAATGTTTTTTGCACTCATTTTGATGATAGAACAGAATTTTTTGAGCACATGGTATACAAATCATATTTGTAGATAAATATCTTACATATATATTTTAATACTCATATGTACCTTTCCGAATAAATTCTCGGCCCTAGGAGCTCCAATAATAAACCAAGTTTCTTTGGTCTGCTCATTAAATGCAGTATTTAAAGAGTAACCTGAAAATGTTTACTATCAATTTTGGAAAGATTTGTGAAATTAATTTAGTTTACCGATATAGTCATCTTCTTCACTTAAATCTGGTGAAACTCTTTTCGGAAGAATTGTCACTTCATGATTTCTTACAGGCTTTTCAAATTCTGTTACAGGAAATATCAAAGCACCCCCTATAAAAAGTATTCCAATGATATTTCGGGATTTTTCAAACGCATCAAATTCAAAATGATGAATTTATTAGTACTATTTACCAATGTTCCACTTTCGAGTAGGTATTCGACAATGAAGGAATTTCCTACAAACAAAATTATTTACCTGTGGTATTTAATCCAGGTGCTCCACAAAAAACGTTATCCTACAAAAAGAAAGACTTATTTAACTATGGTATAATAAAATTATTATATTATAAATATACCTTATCATAAAAAGAAACATCAAACCCAATTTGAGCATATCCATATTCGTAATACAATGTTCTTGTTTCCTCATTCCATTTCATAGCTAAAAGTATAATTAAAATGCAAGTTAAATTCAGACTTGGAAGAAAGAGTTTTGTAAAAGGTAAAAGGTAAAAGGTAAAAAAAAATTTGAGTGAAAAATGCTAGCTATTTATTTCAAACGACTTATTATCTATTTAGAAATTTTAGAATTTCTAATAAAAGGCATTATGATTACTTACGCCCTGCTCCTTCAATTCGTTCAACCGAAACATTATAAAAATTCGGATACGGATATGCATCTAAGGAGTCTTTTTTAAATATACACTTTCCATAAAGATACGCTGATGATTTGAATTCAAATTGAACTGATGATCTAGGAGAGCAGGCCTAAAAATTGCAATAAAAATACAAGTGCATAATCTTTCAATCCAAAATACCCAACCTTTTGCGATATCAAAGTGATTTACATACCATTATTATTCCATCTACGTGATCCTCTCCATTCACTGTGCCACCCATAAAATCGCCGTTTGGGGAAGAATGTAAGTCTGAAAATGATTTATTAACCCTTAAATGGAATCACGTAAAATTTGTAAAAAAAAGTCCAGCTTCATCCATTATCGTATAATTGAAATCGTTTTCAACTGATCAGAAGCTATTTGAGGCATAAATCAAATCATAATTTACTTCACGTTTAAGTTAAATTTTTAATTTTTAATTTTACTTTATAAAATAGGTAAGTAGTTCTAAACTTACAACTTGGGAATGCAGATTTGCACCACGAATTTCTGTCCACTTTGCATTGAAAGACTTCTCCACCATATTTTATTCCATGTGAATCTCTACTTTTTGGAGCTCCAATAGTTACACTGAAAAGTTTAAAGTTATAGAAGATTCAAGTACTTGTAGTGATCTAGAAGCATTGATTTGTAGGGACCTAAAATGCGAAAAGAGAGTTTTCTGAAAATAAAAGTGAATTAAGGTGCAATTAAATAAAACTCAAAGAACTATCGATAGTCGAGTGTGCCTCGTCGACACGTTTCGAGTAGTTTTCTGCGTGTGTTATATACTCTGTTAAAAAAACTGGTTTACTAATTACTTTGTGTCGGACTAGATGATTTTTTAGCACCGACGATAAATGGAACATTCAAATAATTTGTCGATTATTAGTAGGCCAAGCAATGGAAGAAGTTTACCTCAACATAATTAGAACTTAACATTTTTTATGGGGGGATCGGTCCATTTTCATGTGCTAAATAACATTTCAAATTTGCGACCTTGTACTTCCATAGGGTTTTTAGTTACCTAGGGATAGTTTTTCGGGGTAATTTGCGATTTATGGAGAACGCTGCTCAAAGGGATGGTCCAATAGCAAAAAGTTCCAAATGATTGTTGTAGCTGAAGTTTTTTGCTATAAAAAACTCAGCGACAGCACCCCTTTATCATCTATAGTTTTTTTTTTCTGCAACGTCTTGAATAGTAGCATGTTTTCGTTCAAGGTCACTGAATCAACGTTTCGCCTGTTTGCGCGTATTTGATGCAACAGCGGCTGAATGCCTAATCCGATTTCAATTTTTCAAACACCACATTATTGCTAATGAAATGCACTCTCCAATGCTTTTTTGTTCGAATTTTTTGCTTGAAAATTAAGCGAGCACGGACTTGCCTAATGTGCGAGGAAGTTGTTAATTGCATCGAAAACTACCCCTTTCTTGCATTCACTGTAATTTCTAAACGGGGCCTAATATTGGTGACAGTTTTCGATAATCGGTAGTCCATTTATTCCTCTCATAATGCCCCAGCGGTTTTTTTTTTCGTTAATTACTCAATGACTTATTGGCCTGAACACCTCGCGCGGAAGTAAGTCAAAAAAAATTAAAATTGTCGCACAGCGCTGAAATTTGGTACGATCGTTTTATTTATTATAAAAAAAAATCGGCAAGTGCATTATGAGAGAAATAAATGGGCTACCGATTATCGAAAGCTATCACCAAATATTTGGCCCCGTTTAGAGATTACAGTAAATGGAAGAAAGGGGCAGTTTTCGATGCAATTTACAACTTCCTCGCACATTAGGTAAGTCCGTGCTCGCTTAATTTTCAAGCAAAAAATTAGAACAAAAAAGCATTGGAGAGTGCATTTCATTAGCAATAATGTGGTGTTTGAAAAATTGAAATCGGATTATGCATTCGGCCGCTGCTGCATCAAATAGCGCGCAAACAGGTGGAATGTTGATTCAGTGACCTTGGACAGAAACATGCTACGAAACTCTATGCTACTGTTCAAGACGCTGCAGAAAAAAAAACTATAGAAGATAAAGGGGTGCTGTCGCGGTGTTTTAGATTGTAAAAAACTTCAGCTACAACAATCATTTGAAACTTTTTGTTATTGGACCATCCCTTTGAGCAGCGTTCTCTATAAACTGCAAATTACCCCTAAAAGCCACCCCTAACTAAAAACCCTATGGAAGTACAAGGTCGCAAACCAAACTTTATATGTTATTTAGCATATTAAAATGGACCGATCTCCCTAAAAAAATGTTGACTTCTAATTATGTTGAGGTAAACCCTCTTTTCAGGTCCCCATTTCTTGGACTATAGAGTGTGTTACGACAAACTTTTGACTACAGGGGCAGAAATTAAACTCAAGTTGGAAACAATACTGCATTAATTCCAATCATCAGCCTTCTGGTTCGAATACAGAGAATCAAAGAAGTACTTATTTTTTGGTGACTTAAATCCATCCCCAAGTTTACTTTCCCCAAAAAAAAAACAAGCAATAATCCTGCATGCGGAAGAAGATCTTAAACTGAAACCTATTGATTATGTTGAAGTGATATTTATAAAGCATATAGTTTATCTACCAATGATTTTGCCCTTTCTGCTAAAAACTATTGCTTTCCTAGAAAACACCTATGATAACAATGATCCTTACATAAAAGCTCTTGAATTTACTTCTAATATCAAGCTGTTACTATGTACAAAATTTACTCTACTACTGTCCAAGAAAGATTCATCAAAAATAAATTTACCAGACTTAGTAAGAAGATAAAAACAAAACTCATAAGTGAAGATTAAGAAGCTGGTAACATTTCCAGTCTTACTGCAGATATGCCAATTCATACCAGTGATGATGACCTCTTAGATTGCCCTTAACAGTTTCAAGATGTACGTCACTGAGCTTTATATCCATTTTCAAGATTCTTTAGTTGAAATGCGATGGCTTTTACCCTCGCATTGAAAATATAGTACAGCTAAGGTTGGGTAAATTTCACTTTTCACTTCATCTGGAAATTTCAGTCTGAAATTTTCGTGGAAATATTGAAATTTTTGAAATTTCCGTGAAATTAATGAAATTTCTGAATTTTTCTGAAAATTTCCAAAATATCATGAAATTTTCAAAATCAAATGATTCACTATGAAATTTTCAATGAAATTTCATAAAATTCCATGAAATTTTCAGTAGCAATAGTCCAAGGACATTTGATAATTATCCGAAAAAAAATTTATAACAGATTTCGAAAGCTTATTGCTTGAGTATTTATCAATGTTCGAGGGTTATTCGGATAGAAAGTTTTTTGACAACAATGTCTGAGGCAATGTCACAGAATGAAAACAACCCTAAACTTTGTTTTTTTTTAAAGATAAAAGTCAAAATGACATTATGTTGGCAATACAATGTAAAATTGTCAACTCTTCCAATTTTTTTACGTGGAAAAGGCTTGTGTTGCCAACATAGTCACTAAATTTTTGACTTGAGGAATTATCTTTAAAAAAAAACAGACTTTAGGGCTGTTTTCAGTATAATGTTGACATAATTGGGTGATTTGTGTCACATGACAATAAATAACAAAATTATTTGGCTGTTAGAACTGTCAAAAAATATTCTATAAAATTCAATGGTGATGTGACATGACTATGTGACTTTGTGTATTAGCTGTGGTATTAGTTTAGTGACTGTGCAGAAGGTAAATTTCGAGGGGTTTTTCACCTAACAAAATTTGTACACCGTTTAACAGTACTAACTGAGATATTTCCATGTATTAACAGAAATTTCTATGTGCCTAATAAGAAGTTATTGCCAACTATTTCCATGTATTAACAAAATATTTCCACATATTGTCAGGTATTTCTCTAGTATTATCACATATTACCAAGTATTGCCATGCTATTGACAGACTAAAATCAAATATTTGTCTTACCAGAATTCTAGGTATTGACATATCCACGGGTAATTAAAAGTTATTAATGGGTATCAACCTTAACCAATGATATTGACATATACTGCCTGGATATCTACAAGTATTGACACTATTGACATAGTATATACCTGGTATTGACATATCGGGTCTCCAAAAAAAAAAACCAATCAAAGATTGCTTTGGTTACGAAAACGTATGTCGCATTATTGTTTCTTTATTGGTCAGGATTATTGACATGACATTTTGACATTTAGGTTCAATGACAAAATTTTAAAAAAATATTGCTAAGACATACGTTTTAAAAACCATAGCAATCTTTGATTGTTTTTTTTTTGAAGACTCGATATATTAACCAGTGATTATATAAGTAAACTGTATTTTTCTGCGATTGACAAGAAATGTCAGCATTTTTGACCTGTTGACAGGTCGCAAAACTCATTATTCTGGTATTTCAATTATGTTTCAATAGTTGCTAAGGAATCAATGAATAACAATTCAGGAAACACTTTTCCGGCCTAGGCCGGGAAAGTGATTCTCGTACTGCTGAATAATTGGAACTAAAAGACAAACATTTAACAGGTATTGAACCGATCGCAGAAAAAATAGTATGTGCATTTCGGAGGAGAAGCACATTCTCGGCCTTCGGTTTTTGCCAGCCTCGGCTACGCCTCGCCCGTCAACTTACACCGTCGGTCGAGAATGTGTCACTTTTCCACCTAAATACACAATATACTATTATCATAAGTTTAGGCTTCCAACATGAAATTCATCTGCCTCGGAAACTTGTTTTGTCGTGTCGTGTCCTGTAAAATCGAATCGTGGCAAATGAATTCCAACCTAAGCTAAGAAATTTGCTAAGAATTAAGATTCCAACAATCCAGAGCAAGACAACCAGTGAGCGGCGTTGCCATTATTGCTAATAACTCCTTGTATTTCCCGGCGAAACATGTACAATTTTTGAAAATTTCGATGAAATTTATGAAATTTCCAGTAGTAATATAACTAGTGCATAAAATATTTCCGGAAATATTTTATGCACGTGTTATATTTTGATAGGAAATTTCCCGAGTTTGAAGTTTATTTACTATAAGTTGTTTCGAATATTTTAAATATGATGATATGTTCTGTGATGGTGATTTTTATTGATCTTCCCTATTTAAATTGCGTTTGTCAAAAAATATACACTTTGACAGATTTCTGACATCAATGCGTTTTAAATGGAAAAGTTGGTCTCAATGCCAAAAATGACAACCTGAAGGTGGGTTTCCGACGGACGCCGCACGGCATTGTCGCATTGGAAATTGCACCCGGAAATATCCCGCTCAACAGGGATATTTCCACTTGTCAATTTTTGAAAATTACGAGGTAAATTTCCAGTTAAATACGCACAAGGGAAATTTCCAGTGAAACATATGAAGTTTTCTACAAATTTTGGGAAATTTCGAATTGAAATTTTCACCTGCAATTTCCGTGAAATTTCACTTTTTTCGAATATTGGAAATTTCACATTTGAATATTTCAAACATGGAAATTTCATTTGAAAATTACAAACGGCACAACCCTAAGTACAGCAGTTAGTATCTGATATTATACCGAACGTCATGTCTTCAAGTAGTGGTACTATCTTTGTATCTGACGACATTTTTTCACAAGATTTATCTCAAAGTG